CTGCCCGGTGCAAAAAATATATCAACTTGCCGAGAGGCTGATGATGTATGCATGTATGTAGGGAGGGGGGAGGGGGGAAGAGACATTGGAGTGTGGGCGTGGCGAAAATAAAAAAGCCAGCGATTACCCAAGTGATTGTCATTCGTATAGGTGTTTTTTTTTTTTTATCCGTAGTTATTGCGTCTATAACAATTTCATAACAAGTGGCTGTACATTAACTAGAAATACAACAGTTTTACGCGTAAGACAATACGAGAGTACATCGGAACAAAATGTTATTATTGCGTACAGGTTGTTAATTGCGTTGTAAGTTGTAAATTTTGGTTCCTTCGATAGATTCCTCATACATATAATGCTCTGTAGTATTTTTTACCAAAGATTTTTAAAAAACGCATGCGAGGAAAAGTTTTACGAATGGCATGTGCATTTCTGCTAAGTATAAACATGCAGCGTATGGAATAGTACAGATGCATTTTTTTACGACTCAACTTTTCATTCCTATGCAGCGAAGGAACGAATAAGAATATACGCGCGATAAATGCATCCTAATGTGGGATAAACCGATGTACGCGTGGGATCTGAAAGTAATTCTGGAAACATTTATTCATCACTTTTTTTTTCGAATTTCACCTAAAAGATATATGATTATGGATTCAGCACAATAAGACAGGAGGAGCATTACAATATGCAATGCAAATGCAATAGCGGAAAATTCCTGTAATTTAATATTTCCCGCGTCGAGTAAAGGAAAAACACAAAAACAGCTTCAGTTTTCCTTTCGCCCATCAAGGAGTGATCGCACCGTAGCGTGAAGATATCCCGAGGCCAAGCACATGTATATACAGTAATAGCTGTTGGGAAAAATTTGCAATTCCCAATGTGGGCCGCAACACAGGTAAGATTATTATTACAGGTTTTTCCGAATTTCAAGAAATTCCAGGAACCGATGGCTGGAGGAGGAATAAATTTTCACCCCATACTCGTCTTCTTCTTCTTCCTCGAGGCTATACGGCGCGAGTATAAACATTCATCATTTCCAATGACTCGAACTCCCTATATATATGCACTAAACTTGTGTACAGGTTCACGTGAGGAAAATCCTTTTTACTTGGCGTAAGCGTTAATGTGCCGCTTAAAGAGATAAAGAATTGTGTGGGTTTTTTTTTTTTTTTAAATCTTTTGTCCTTTTGGTGTCCTTCGTGGGGCGCCAAAGTCGGAGGTGGAAGACAGTTTAAAGGATCTCCTTCTTGGGGACGAGATAATTTTAATGAGATTGCCCCGAGAGTCGGGAAGAAAGACAAGAGAGAGCACCAATGGTATAACGAAGGGATGAATGTAGAAAACGATTAAGCTTGTCTCGTCTTGTACGTAATAGGGAGATGCCTTTTTGTGCAGATTTGTGTACTGGCTCATTGTATACAATTTAGAGGTGAAATTGTGCGTCTCTCCATAATACGTATAGCAGGTTTATAGCTAATGGGATTTTGTTACACAGGTATATATGCATGAAACTGGATTTTTTTTTTTTCCGTTTGTGACTATATATGTAAAGGAGAAAAGGATGAGAAGGTGATTTCGAGGATGCCTTGCAGCGGAAATTGAAATTCTACGATTCTGCTGCATGACTTTTGAGATACGTTTCGCTCCTCTGCTGAGCAAAGACGAGGGTTCAACTCAACTCGCAGGCAAAGCTCTATCATGGAAATTAACAAGAACGCTTTTCCACGAATATGCCCCGAGCAAACGATATTCCAGCAAAACAGTTCGTTCCGACTACGAGAATCCAATCCCGGCTTTTTTGGAACAATAGCCGGGATATAATATATGCTATTATTTTACCCATGTGTGTCTAAATGGCACGATTATTCCGCTCTTTATCTACATACTAGGTTCAATGCGCTGTACACGCATATCTCTGTCCCTCGAGGGAAAAAGAAGAGAGCGCGTAATGTATTCATAGGGAAGCGGAATATTTCACGAATCGCGAAACGTGGAATCGAATTTTTCATGCTTTTCCGGAGGATTTGAGGATCTACCGTCCGAAGAGTCGTAAAATGTAGTAGGAGAATATCTGCAATTTGGCCTTTTTTCTTTTTCTTTTTTTTTGGAAAATCCCGTGAATTGTGGATATGGCTCGGAGGGAGATTGAAAATTGTGTGCTAGTGCCGCTCTTTCATTTGCGAAGGAATTTTAGTTTTTTCTTTCAGAAATTACGTACAAAAACTAAAACCGAGGATTATCTTATCAGGTATTCGAAACAAAGGTGCCGAGTAAAACGCTGATATTTGCCAATATTTAATTAAAAACATCAAGGATATACAGCATGAATATTTCGTTAAATATTATATGAACTTCATTAAGACTAGACTAATCATTAGTATAAAGCTATATGCACCAAAAATTCCTAAAACTAGTCATTTCGCGATGAAATACAGTTAGAAACCGGTTAATTTCTACAAAACGCGTAAACCGGCAATTAAAACCTAACGCGCGGTCGTAAACAGTAAACCGTGCCCCTCGCGAGTGGCATAAAAAAAGGGCAGCAAACGGCGATTTTAAATTATTCAAACGGCCACTACAGCCCAGCCTCGCCCGGTACAACAATATACAGATTTATACGCTGCTAACCTCCTCCTACGATCCATCTTTTTCTCATTCGTACCAACACCTACAGCTTGTACTCCTTTGTGTTCTCTTCACAGCAATGAAGCAGCCTGACATCCAGCAGGGACCGTCCCGCGGGACGTTTTCTTCGGCACGTGTTCTCCCCCCATATCCTTCTTTTTTTTTTTTTTTTTCTTCTTCCACCCCCCTCGCACTTTCTCTCAACGTCGGTACTCTCCCTCTTCTTCTTCTTCTTCTTCTTCTTCTCCTCTCACCTCTTTTTTCCTCTCACGTTCTCGGGCGTTTGCTAATGGCCCCCCAATAAAATATCCTTAACGCGACTCCCTCCTTTATTTATTTTTTTTTTTTCTACTCTCACGTCGCGGTGCGACTGTCCAGGGTTTTTTGGTTGGAATCGAGAGAGAGAGGAGTTAATGTACGTATACGCGTTTGAGCCGAATTTCATTTCGGGGTGGAGAAAATGGGGCATCAGCGAGACTCTTATTTTATACTTTTCGTGGCTCTTTTAGTATACAAACGCCTGTTTTCGCCGTGAATTTTTTTATTCATCCCAAACATATATGCGGTCCAGCTTCACTTTTTTTTTTTTTTTTTTTTTTTCTTTACTACTAAAATCGTGCGTACGACTCTCGTTATTAAATACTTGGCGCGTGCAGAAGTAGTAAGTTTTCCAGAACGACGTTTATCCTCGAATTTGTTGGATGACATATTCGTGAGTGTATACATACGCATTTCGGTTGTCACGCGTATGAAACGTGTATGAAACTACTGCCGAGACGAGTCGGGAAATTTCAAGGCGAGCGCTCGGAAATGTAATAAGAGAGAAAATTGTCATTAAAATTCGTTTCGCCTCGACGTTTCGGAGATTGATGCGCTCGTGTAATTTTTTTTTTTTTTTTTTTTCCCTACACCCAAAAATCCCTACGGGATGATGGAGCGCCACATAGTCGAGCGTGTTATCGATACCGGAGCGCCAAAAGATAATCGGCGGGGGGGTAAAGCGAGCAAAAACAACTGCAATTACCTTCTTCTCGCCCGAAGAGTACAACGAATGTAACCATGTTACCCAACAATGACCCACGAGCCTTTCGGAGAACGAAGCTCAAAGTGCACGTATATAATCTCCTTTCTTGTCGCACCCCACGGATGCTTCATCATGTGCCCCGGCTCCGGTTTGCGATAATGGGGCGTGTGATGTCACGTGTATACGCCTTCGTAGCGTCATGTATACAGCTGGGAAGGGGGTGGGGGTGTGTTTATGGGAGACTAACAATATTCGCTCGATGGGAAATCTGATGGGAGGAGGTTTGTGGATGTTTTTCAAATTGAAATGTGCGGGGGCGCGATTCGCCCTTGAGCGAAACGAGAAGAAGATTGGAAATGGATTTTTCGGAGCCGCAGGTTTTCTCCCTTTTCGCTGCAGGTCCTGATTATTCCTTTAACGAAGAAGCCGGACCAAAGCCCAAAGAGACTTGTCGCGAGAGTTCTTATCTAAACGCTAAAAGTTTGCGCTATTACGTCGCGCAGGACTTGTAAATTGGCGATTTTCGAAGGGAAAATGCACCCTTTTTTCCCTCAATTTCATTGCAATCCACCGTATTTGCATTTTAATGAGTGGCACTTGAAGGCTAGCCCCTTGGTCGTTCAAACTTTTTTAATACGTGTGTGAGGCAGGGGGGAGGGGGTGCAATTTGGAGTATGGATTTTCTTATCTCGTTTCAGGCCTGTAGATATACGTGCCACAGGCAGGATGGCACGTTTCGTTAAAAAAGTTTTATACAAAATTTTTACAAAATGAGCTGTAAATATGGCTTACGTGATGAATATTAAGTAGTCGATATTCGATTGCTGTGAAATGCCAAAGGACCGATTTATTTCATACAAAAAAAAAAAAATCACTTTTTGATCAATTCTCATGAGGCTTCTCCTCAAACTCCAACTTTTTGTTTCGAAGCGTGACTGCCTTGCTTGAGTCGCGTCGTAAAATTTTTAACTCTTTTTGTTCTTAGCAAAATCGTACAAAATCAAATAAACACTCACCATTTTAGAAATAACTGGGAAACAGCAAATTACAAAGTACAGATCTCCAATACTCTACAGAATACAATAAATCGAGGGCAAAAAACAAGCTTATTGAAAGAACTTTTGTTGCATGCGAAGTTGATGAGTAAAAAAGCGTTTTTGAGACGCCTCAATTAAAAAGCAATGGACAAGGAAGTGGAGGAGACTATATATATGCAAAATGCATCCATAGGAGAGAGCCACACCGGTCAGCGCAGGTGGTCGATAAAGTAGGGATCTCGAGATCGGTGCTCGGCTGGACTCCTATCAACATAAATATAAATGAGAAAGTCTACAGTCAGGCAAAGTCCACACCCATCGGTATACCTTCGCGTTGCACATAGTACAAATATACCCGCGCGCTCCAGCGGAGATCAGTGCCACCGCAACCTGGAGACCGTCGCCGCCCAACAAACGCATCAGCTCGACGAAAATGTCGCACCCGCAGCGCGCCTTTGTCCTCCTTTTCGCGGTACTCGCCTTTTTGACGACAGGTACGTTTTCGGTGCTCTCCAACGTCCGATCGCGTAAATCGTTATGGGTTTCGGCTGAGGAAAAAAAAAAAAAAAAAAAAAAAAAAAAAAAAAACACAGATCGAGTAAAGTGTACAGTGCACCGTAGATCGCTCGGCTGACGCCATGTTTGATAAATATACATACATATACTTGCACGTTGATGCTTTTTTTTTTTTTTTTTTTCTTTTCATTCAAAAACGTCATCCGAGGGAACCGAATCACCGCATTTTATTCCCAAAAACGATCTCGCGATCGGTAAAATGGCCCCAAAGTGTATATATGTATGCTCACTAGTTGTTGCGTTTGCAGGTGGTCACTGCATAAAGTGCTACCAGTGCAGCAGTGACACCGATCCGAAAGGTGTGGACAACTGCGGGGCCTACAAGCCCTTCGACAAGGAGAAACACTACCCGGTCGAGTGCAACAGCGACGAGTCCAAGGCCCCGGGAACCTTTTGCGTCAAAGTCACGCAGCAGGGACCCCGAGGATTTATCTGTGAGTACTTTTTTTTTTTTTTTTGTTTTTTTTTTGTTTTTTCAAATTTCACGGTGTAAAGGTTCAATCGGACGCGATAGAATTTTATATCAGTCAAAGGAGACGGAGGTCTACTTAAGCCTCACCGAAATAATGTTAAAAAATCGGCGTGTCAACATGAGCTTGTCCGGTGTTTCAGGGGACGGCAGGTGGAGGCAGGTGATCCGGCGTTGCGCTTCCGTGGCGAGCACGGGAGTCACGGGCGTGTGCAACTGGGGCGTGTACGAGAACGGCGACTACTGGGAGGAGTGCTCGTGCTCCGGGGACGGGTGCAACGCGGCATCCCGACTTCAACTGGGCACCGCAGCCATCCTCGCAGCGGTACTCCCTACCCTTGGGCTTTGGAGGATCGTCCAATTGTGAACACACGAGCTTCGACGCCTCTTTTACTTTTATTGACGCTATGTAGAATGTTGTGACGGCTAGTGAGAAAATGATGATACACAAGAAGTGTGTACTTATTAGCCGAGTGCGGCGAGTGAATCCAGTGTGGCATACAATAGAAGTACGCGCCAAAGGAACTGTATTGTTATTGTTGCACAAAAGCAGTGAGATCCGTGACTTGAAAAAGTAGCGAGAGTTGTCGATGCCTCTCTCTCTCTCTCTCTGGTTGGATATATTATATGGTTGCTTTTGCTTTTCGTAGCCCAACAGTGGGAAGACAAAATTTTTATACAAATTTTATCGATTCACGGTATACCTTACACTCCGTCCACGTCGATCCGTCCATTTTTTTATAGTTTTAAGAATCGCGGTTTTTTAATTTATACGTATATTAAAACAACGTAGCCATAGTACAAAGTACTATTAATATATGTAGTCATAACATACAGCTTTCGAACAATTTTCATATTATACAAAGCCGCAGAGCGTTGATTGCCGTTGTTCCGGTAAAATTGCGAAGGATCTCCAGAAAGCGATAGATGTATACCGAGTGATACGCAAATCGGCAAATGTAAATAACGATTAAGTCCTTACCAATTTTTTTTGTTCATTTCTGAAACTTCTGCGTGCACACCGATTGAATCTCCATTTGTATTTTTTACCAACAACGAATCGCTTGTATAAAACGTAGCAATAAAGTAAATTAAAAAAAAATAAAAAAATTCGAAACCAACAGCTCACTATGGAAAGCCTCTTAGTTGCATTAGCGGAGAGTACAAGTGAGCACCTAAAATATATATTTATGAAAGGATTATTACACTAATAAACGCTCTGGCGATCTGCTTGGCAGCATCACGAGGGAATTAATTCCCGTGGACGCGAGTACAACCGATGTAAGCCCATGCAAAGCCAGCTCTCTCGTAACTTGCGCCTGGCCCAAAAATCTTTTTCCAGCCATTATACGGTACGAGGACCTATTGCTATACGCACCGACCAAAAGCCCCGAGACTTTGGTCCTCCTAGGAGAGGAAGAGCCAAGGCCGCGTTAATACGGGAAATTCAGCGGCCACAAGTTAATTACGCCATGCGTCCCTCGCGCGTGTATATGTATGTATATACATACCTATAGTTGCAATTAATGTCCCCGCTGTACCGAAAGCCAACAATGCTCGCTCGCTTGTTTTTGGTTCCCTTGTATATACCTACACCAACTGCTATACATCACGTCGTCGGATATATATATATATATGTGTGTGTGTATTTACGTGTACGGAGGAACCAGACCCCCCTCGTTATGCACCTTCGCCGTGTACGTATAAACGTAGAGCTCCTCTGCTCGTATAATTAAGACATCGGCCCCTCTTGTGCCGGGACGACCTCTGGCTCTGCGCCGTATAGTTACCGAAACACTTTGTGTTGTATACTTTATAGTTTTTTTTTTTTTTTTTTTTTTCAACGCATCCGATTTTCCTGTTGCCGATTTTGTGCGACATTGTACATCCCGGGAGAGAAAAAAAGTACAGCAGCAGATTAGAGAAAATTAATCGGAAGAGCGGCGCGTCATAGGAAACGAGCTTCGGTTCCGGGCGGCACTTAATTTTCCAGATAAGAGCCACGCCGGGACACACAGCTCTCCTCGTTATACGTGTTACATCGGAGTCCCCCCGGGAGCTTAAGTATATATTAACCGGAGTAGAGGGAAAATGCTCGGCCCGTGCACGCGTATATACACAATATACGATGCGTATTATGCACCAATCACGTGTCATCAAGAGGAAGAGTGTATATAAAGTTTCGGGTGTGGATGGATAATTGTGTACTGGGTGGAGGAGGGTGTCGCTTGAGGCGAAAAGCCATCGCGCGCGGTTTTTCTCATCGGTTGTCGCGCCAATCGCGATGCATCACTCGACCTACATTCCGTACGTGTATGGGGATATAACTCGATCACAGCTCGTTTTTGCCCCGTCCACCCCCCGTGGGGTCTATTGCGTGTTGGGGGAAAGATTATTTCGGAAGGTACATCGTTTGCCCCCCCCCTCCCCCTGCTGTGGCGCCCAACAACCCTTTCCAAGGTTAAAATCAATTAAGATCAGTGTATAAGGTACATGTGCCCCGTTTGTACATAGTGTATGGGACGTTTGTCATTTTTTCGGGGGTGTGGTAAATATGTACAGCGTATATATATACATGGAGGGATAGTAATCGTGACGTAAGAGCCAGAAAAGAAAGAAGTTCGTATTCATTTGGACACCGCTAATGAGGACACATAATACGTACATATATACTTTGAAGACGAGTTTTGTATCCTCAAAAGGAGAGCACTCGTTTTATAGGACAGCCACGGATGTATATGTCTCCGTGGTAATAATGAGCTTTTTTTCCGGGGGTAGGTGTAGGGGTAATAAAACTACATATATATATATATATATAACATCCGTCTTGGCTGTGGGGCTATCTCTTCATAAATATTTAGTATACTTACCTGCAGCACCGTTCGTCGTCCCTTTGATTAAATAAGACAACCCGTTTCGCACCGGCGACGAGGTTCCTCGTGTATATAACTTACTCTTATTTTCCTCGCTGCTGCCTTAAGAATATATACGGAGCACCGAGGGGGCGGGGGGAGGGGGGAAGCTGTTACTTCTTAAGAAGGTATTACTCTCCATTAGGCGCCATTACTTTTTATGAATACAAAAGGGCTTTGCCTGCACCGAGGAACTATATACCTATGTACATGTACAAGAGGATTTGAGTCGAGAATAAGTATACTTCTGTGTCCCGGAGCTGAGTAAGAGCTGATACAAAATTTGTGACGAAAACACGGGGATTTAAAACGCCATGGGAATTACTTGCCTTACAATGTATGGATACGAAATTCAAATGAGGGTTGGCCAATCGAGCGAATGAGAGGAAGCTGTTGTGAGCTTGAGAAGCGCGAAAAAGTGTAGATCAACGACGTTTTCTTCGGCTTCTGTATACTGAACTTGTAATGTTTCGTTGTTGTTTAACGCGGATTTTTTGTACAAAATGTACTTAAAAGTATTGTAGAAACGATTTTAAGCCAGATTATTGTCGAACGAAAAAAGTTTTTTTTTTTTTTTACAACCATAGGGTTCATGAAGTAAGTGAAAATTCATTTGGAACAAAAAAAAAAAAACGCCGAGGAAACACACAGGTAAGATACTTGAACGGCCAAAGTTTCGACGCGTAGAACCACTGGTCTCTGTCATTTTTCCCTATTGAACGCACCTGATGCAGACCCAAAAAGAATGTGGTGTCGTAAACCGCGAACTGCAGCCGTCGTCGGTGTAAGTATATGTTTGTGCACGAGAATTCTTATACGCGTTCGTTATCGAACTCTCGAGTATATGGGCGAGGCCGAAAATTTGAAAATTTATATTCGCGCACCGAAAGTTAACGACTTTGGGCGTGGCCAATTGTTTGAAAGTTCATTTCGTTTGGTCTCTCCCGCGCCGATGACGAATAGCTTCCAATAAGCGTTTCCAAGACGTATACATATACTTACTACAGTTTCCGTTGGACCCCAAGTGCTCGGTGGCTTTTGTTTTTCGAAAAAAAATTGCGATAGTTTGGAATTTCCGTACTTACTCCCCGGTGTTTTTTCACTCGTTGCCAAATCACAAGATTGCTGATTTATAGACGAAAGCTTGCTCTAGTGCTTTTCAAATGTGAGAAAATTCCACTTTAGTGAGCGAAAACAAACTAGAGAATTGTTTTTTTTTTTTTTTTTGGTTGAATAAGGCAGATTCGAGGAAAAACTGTTAAATGATTAAATCCGTATTTTCTAAATTCCCGCGTTTAATTAACAGCAGACGACAAGCTAATGACGTCATCGAACTCCAAAGAGCAGCAGCAGAAAAAATATTTTGTGTCTCGCGCGCGCCCGTCTAATGTGCAACGTTTTATAATGTTTTGAGTTAAGAATCATTTATAAACTGCATAATTGACAAAAGTTTACAGTAGCAATAATTTGTGAATTTCAACGCGTCTGCTGATAAAGATTTTTAGTAAAAATGGGTGGAGGAGATTTGGTAAGTTTGAACATAACCTCCGAATTAAAATTAATGTACAAAATGATTGTGTGATGTATAAATAGTCTAAATTAAAAAGTACAAAGAAATCGTACGAATAAACTTGAGAACGAAAATTAATTTTAATTTTGTAGAATTTGAAAAAGTCATGGCATCCATCTACCATGAAAAACATGGAAAAAGTTTGGAAGGCAGAAAAGCAGGACAACGAAGAGAAGAAAAGAATCGCGGAACTTAAGAAAGAAATAGAAATGGAAAGAGACAAGGAAGACATGAAAAATTACGCCATGGAGCAAGGTGTGATAGAAAAAAAGGACGACAAAAAGCTGGATTGGATGTACAAGGGCCCGACTGTAAACAGGGAGGAATATTTGCTGGGTCGGAAGATTGACAAACAGTTTGAGCAAATGGTTCAAACTGAAAAAGAAGCCAATCAGAATAAGCCGACTGTAGCAAAAAATCACGTTGACCATGGTTGGTAATTTTAAGATGCAATTTCAATTTCTCTTCTTTTAAAAATATATTTATACTTTTGCAGAATGTATACCACCTTCGTTGAGAAATTTTTCTGGAGATCAACAGGTTGACATGGCCAGAAAACTCCAAGAGGATCCCCTGTATTTCATTAAAAAAAGAGAAATGGAAACAAAAGCTCAGTTATTGAAAAATCCTGTAAAATTGAAAAAATTACAAAAATTGGTAAGTTATTCATTTTTACTGTAGGAATTGTAAAAAGTTGTACAATTTTCATGTGAAATATCCGATTTTTAGATAGCTCAGCAGAGGAGTCAAGCAGAATTGAAAGGCAGTAAGGAAAAAAAGAAAAACAAAAAATACTCGAGTGACAGCGACGAAGATAAGAAGCTTGATAAATTATTGGCCAGCAAATTTAAAAAATTAAAAGATGAAATAAGCGAAAAGGATTTGATTATGGCTATTAAGAAACATAAAAAAAGTAAGAAAGCAAAAAAGAATAAAAAGAGGGATAGTAGTGACAGCGAAGACGAAAAGGCAAGTAAAAAATCAAAGAAAAGTAAGAAAAAAGATAGCGATGAGAGTGATAGTGACGACGAAAAAAGTAGAAAAATGAAAAAAAGTAAAAAAAGAAGCAGCAGCGAAAGCAACGAAAATAGGGTGAGTAAATTGGCAAAAAGAGACAATAGTAATAGCGATGAAGAAAGAGGACACAAGAAATCAAGAAAAAGTAGGAAAAGAGATAGTAGTGATAGCGATGAGGACAGAGGAAGCAGAAAGTCTAAAAAAAGTGATAGAAAAAATAGTGATACAAGAGATAGCAATAAAAATGATGAACAAAGAGACGATTCTAGACATGCATACCGTAATTATGGATTGATGGTATAATTTTTTTCCCTAAAAATTTAGAAAAGTTTTTCCAAGTTAGGTTAATAGTATTTAATTGCATTTAAATTTGTTTTTTTTTTAGAAATCTGATGGTACGAGAATATCTCCTCCGAAAAAACGACGATCCTCGTCCAGGGAAAACCCTAAAAGAAAAGAAGAGCTGGAAAAAAAAGACACTAAATGGGTACCACCTAAAAGGCAAAAACTATCAGAAGAAGAAAAAGAAAGAAGACGCCAGGAAATGATGGCCAACGCATCCTGGCGGGATAAAGAACGAGCAAAAAATGTAAAGCGGTACGAAGAGGAAGAGAAAAACGAAGTAGTATCAAAAAATAAGTTCGATAAGCATTTTGCACAGTAAGTTGATGCGCAGTAAATACATCAATTTAATGATTTTAGTAAAGTATTATACTTACAATGTCTTTCTCTTTTGCAGAAAACAATTAGCTATGGCAGCTAGTAAAGAAACAGTTGCTTCAAGAATCAAGTCAAACATCAATAATATACAAAGGCATAACTACTCAATGGAAAAGAATTTTGCTAAAAGATAGCATTAATAACCACTTTACGACGAATAATTGTATGAATAATATTTGTAATAAAATAATATATTTTTTTAATAACTCCTATTTTATTTAAATATACATTTGAAAACTAACAATGTAACAGTAACAATATATCTATACATATATATTTTTTTTATAATTTTTTATGTAATCCTACACATTTCATCTGTTTTTAGGGCATCATGAGTTCCAGAAATATTTGTGACACAGTCTCCTGTGAGTACATTATTTACAATAGCTCTGGCCAAGCAACTCGTTGTATTAGAATAGTTTGCAGAAAAGAAATTTGTCATGTCTGTAGTTTTTTCCAAATTTTGATCCTTAAAAATATTATCACTGTGAGCTATTTAATAGATTTTTTTATATTTTCTAGCATGCTATGTTGCATGAAAATAACTCACCTTGCAGAATATTAAGTACGCATCGTCAACTAATTTATTTAAATTTAGTTGTTTTTGGAAAGTCAACTCGGGGTTTCGCAATAATATTGTAGATACGATATTCAGCAACTACAAAATTTAGACTTTATTAAATCATGTACAAACGAAATCTAAATGAGATGCATAGGTCTCGGCATACCTCAACAACTATTTGACGATATTCTGGCATGTGAATATGATGAAGGATTGATTCGACGAGAAGAGCAAATGTCAATTCTGATCTAGTCATGTTTGATAAAGTTGGTTGCTGCGGTATTTCACGGCCATTCACGCAAATACCTCCAGGACATCGCTCTAGTACTTCCCAAACTTGATTGTAAAAATGGGCTGGTACTCTGCACAAGCAACCTTCAATTTTTCTTCTGCCCAAGATCGACAAACTGCAATTGGGCAAAATATAAAATTAGCTTTTCTATGCAATCGTGTATATTGTTGAGAATTAATTTAAAATGCCTACTTTTCTTCAGCTGCCCAATCCTTTACCGTGAGAACTTTAATTAAAACCTGTCGAATTTCGTAAGGGCTGTAGTTTTCAAGAGGCTTAGTTTGCCCTCTTATTTCTAAATGTAATTTCATAGCTTCTAAAACCCACCTGGAAAAAACAAAATGAGTGTAAAAAAAGTACTATTCATACTGGAGATTTTTAAATTGGAAACAGTATTGTTCTCACCCGATTCGTATTTTGAGTATACCCTTGAAAATTTCTGGGTTAGTTCCAATTAACCGACCACAATACAGTAATATTTCTTGTTGTAGGACAGCTTGTACAACGTTGTGAGGTTGAATGGTAGAGTACATAACTGATTGAATCTCAGCTGGTGTCATTGGTTTATCAAAAACAGTTTCTTGTTGATAAATGACACCAACGGTAATCTAGAAAAATATGACCACCTCAGTGAAAAAATCGAGCTAAAGTTGAAATTTTCATCGACATCTACCTGTTTTCCTTTAACAAGTACACCTGTTATGAAAGGGCTGATACTGTCTACAGTATGGTTTAGCAAACTACTGCAGTATCGCACCACCATCCAATACCTAAGGCTACCAGCTTGTTGATACAAGGATCTTAAAATGTCCCCAACTAAAAATTCATAGTTACAATTAATTCCTTAAAATTAAAGAAAACATTTTAAATAAATTTACACGTACGTATTGAGCCATTAATTTCGTAATTGGAACCTTCTCGCTGCAATAGTATACCATAAAGTTGGCATTTGGCATACAAGCCAGCTGCATTCCTAATGGCATTAATTACATTCGGAGTAGGCTCATTTTTAAAGTGCTACAAAACAATTAATAATTATTGACTATTTTTAGTTGGATGATCATTGATAACTTACGGAAAGATTTTTTGAATCTTCATCATAAGAGAGCGCTTTTGGGACGTCCGTCAAACTTTGATAGCCAATATAGTCGTGCTCCAATTGTTTGAACTGATTTAATTCCAAATCGGTTTCCATTGCACTAATAAAATCCAAATGCTCTGTTGCAAAAATTAAAAATATTGCATAGATATATTGCATACATAATACTGCATAGATGACAAAATTAAACTTTCACCTATACAAGAGGACGATATTAAATTCTGCAGCCTGCCGATGCGCACTTTTGTACCGTCGCAGTATCCTTTCTTCAACATCGCAAACAAATCGAGCATTTCTTTAAACTGTGGATCACTGAAACGCAAAACTTTTTTTAATAACTTATTCTCCTCCGTATAAATAACATGATCTTACCGCATGTGCTCTTCACGTATAAGAAGGCAAACGGTAGGCCTTCCCGATAATCTCCAGTATTTTCCAACGAATTGTAGTTCCGTTTTAATGTCATCGATAAGCAAAGCCATGTCGCGGTATAAATAAAATTCCGATACCTCAAATATCAACGGGTAGCAAAGAACAGTCATCCCGCAAACTCTGTATATCTAGAAATGATATTATTAACAAACAATTCTTCGTATTTTTAAGAGCATGCAATACACAAATACAATCATACCTTACTCGTCCCCAAAGAACCAATAGGTCTTGCAGGTCTACCCTCGAGGCCAAGTTTACTGTTAACTCCAAGGCACTGGTAGGCCTTGACCAACTCACTCGATGAAAGAATTTGAACGGGCTCCACCTCGTGAGGCGTTTGAGTTTGTATACCGTACGTGGCCATCATGGCTTGTAATCTCATAGACTCGGCTATCAAAACGATTTGGACCACAAGATCGGTATGGGTGCCCTGAAGCGAAATATTTGGATTTTTTTTTTTCGTGATTGTTAACTGCATTAATTTACGAAAACATCATAGTCGACGACATGCTTTGTCGCAGTGCAGTAATATTAAGCGATTTTTTAATGTAAGAAATAAATGTCTTATTTCTCATATAAACTTTTTCAATGCAGCTCAAGTATAATACATCATGTAATGAATTTTTGTAGTAATCTTGCATTAATAGTAAAAAAAATGTTTAGTTTTATAATATCTATTCAATAAATTACTAAACAAAAAGCACATAGCATTTAGGAGCAAGAGAGTTTCAATCATTCTAAGGACAAAAGGAAAAATGGTAGTAAAAATATATCTCATCAGAAGCATTATATTGTTGAAACTTAATTTTCGAAGTGAAAAAAAATCCAAGAAACCTATTTCAACATAAATGAAGCTGCTCATATTGACATGCTTATTAAAAGCGATAACTGCGCTTTACGTTTTCAATATGGACAAAAAGCCTGCTTGTGCTTGCATTAATATCAATAATTTCCACATGTAATAATTATATGTACAATTACAGCATCAGATTACTTACACTGCACGGTTTCGCCTGTATAAAACGCAAAAAAAAAAATCATTAACTCGTGTCGATACTAGTATATTTGCTTCTATTAAAATATCACGTGCACTCATTCTACAAAAAGTTCTACACTAATATACGTTCGACGTACCTGGAAAGCCGAGTATCGTCCGGCCTTTCTCGGTCTATTGTAAGAAGGCAAATACCGACGAATCGGATCCAATTCATTGATGTGCAACAGATTGGCGGTCAACAACTGAGCTATCACAAACATCGCTTGGTTCCACAAGTATATCGAGCCATGATCTTCGCCTCCTCTGTGGCCCCGACCGATGTCGCAAGGAATCTTCATCGTACTTCCCGGCTCGATTTTTTCCATTTCAATGTTCTCTTCGGATACGTAATAGTACATAGGAACCACCGGGTCTGTGTAAAAACGTACATATTTTTTATTTTAACGACCGATCGATGAGCTGTAAACGTTCAAACAACATGAAACCAACCTCCGTGATAATCCTTGGACAGTCTGGCTTTGAGTAAGTTCTGGTACTCTTCCACTTGATCTGGTAAAGTGTTAAAAACTCCGTCGATTATCATGAAGATGTAAAACAACGGCCACTCGCACTCTATGTTGTCGAAATCCTGGAAATCGACAATGAAAAATTGCATTGAAAAAAATCCTGTTGCTACAAAATTGTCATAAAAAAGTATACTTTGATTTCCCCAGATTTGTAGTAGCGTCTCTCTGGATCTTCGATGACGGTCTTGTAGCCGTCCCTGTTGAATCGTTTGAAGCCATGAGTGCTCTTCAATCTCCTTACTATGTTGGCTTTGGTCTCGTTGTACAAAACTTCCTCGTGCGTGGCAAATGCGGGAAACGATATCGTTGGCAGAAGGGCTGCATCCACGCTCTGTCAAGTAGAAAACAAATAACTCGTCTGTAATTGACCATGAAAAATTTTACTTTACCCTAAAAAAAACCTTCATCATACTTTGGAGCTGGATTCCCTTGGAAGCATGGTTTCGAAAATACTACGATTACGATTGTGCGCATCTATGTCGACGTAAATAACGGACCAAGAGGCTCCCTTTTCCCCAAACAGATTGCAGCCATTGATGGCTTCCAGGGCACTTTTGGCCATCCCGATTGAGCTGGCGTGAATTTCCGGTGTCCCGTCGTTGTAACGACTGCCTCTCTCCCACATCCCGTAATCCGGTGTTCTGTAAGCTCTTTCGACATAGTAGACGAGGTTTTGAATGAAAGCTACTTCATCTTGAGTGTAAATGATTTGCAGGCCGGATGAGATCATTTGGACCAGGAAAATCAGGTACAGGGACACAACGTCGATCTGTAAAAAAATATAACGTATAATTATCAAATTCTCGAAAGATTTTGCTGATATATTTTCTCAATCGATTACCTGCAGGTGATTGTAGTCTTCGTCTTTGAATATCTCATTGCCAGTGTCCAAGTGAAACTTACAGTGCAAGGCAAAACGATTGGATTGGTTTTTCTTAAACAACTCCACTCTGGAGGACTGCTTCATCCAGCACTCCAGAATTCCTCTCATGCACTTAATGGCCGATTGTCCCAGTTCGTAGGACTTGCCTCTATCGTCGTCTATACGTCTACAATGTTTGCAATACTTAAAATAATTCAAGAAAAACAAAGGAATTAAATTACTTTTTAAATTATACTATACCTGTAAGCTTGATGCAAGCTCCAAACGGCAGCAGCACAGTATATGCTATCTCTGACACTTCCAACTTTTATGTCAGTAGAAACTTGTGGGAAAAGGCCTGTTATACAGCTTTGGTACTGAAGAATCTGCCTTTTGACTGCAACAACAATATTTACATTTATAAATTTAACATCGACAAAATACATAAAAGTAATTTGAATTTTTTATATTACCGATTCCATAATATATGTCAAGTTGTCTAACGGTGTCTTCATAGTTAGAAATCTTCAAAAACATATCAATATCAAAGTCTATGATACTGCCCTGTCTGAGATTTCTGAACTGATTTGGAGCTCTAAAAAAGAATTGAATCAAAGATATCAGATGATAAAAGTAAAAAAAGTGTAAACGGATTTTTTTATCTCTCAAGATAAACACTACAAATATTCAAATACATACCTTATTACAGTTTGATCACTTGTTGCTATTGCTTCCATTTTTCACTCAAGGCACTGATCACAATATAATATATAACGTAATAAATATACCAAAAAATTCCACGCAAAAATTTAACAAAAAGCAACGGTGTAATAATACGCAGCAATCATTTTATTTATTAAATAATTTGTTTATTAATTTTTAACATCACTTGGTACCTCAGGACTTGACGGATTTGAAGAAAACTTTTGACAAAGGTGACATTTACAACTTCCTAGGCACACGAAAATCACATGTATATAGCTTATTGTTTTATTTTTTTATTTATAACAACAAACAGTGATGTCACATTTTAACTTTTCTGTTCTAGCAACACTGCACACGACACCCGAAGCTTACATTTCTGCGGGAAAATTTAAAAACTCTCGGCTCATACGACGTCAAGGGGATCTCGTACCATAGACATTCTAGGCAAAAGTCTAGATACAACTAACTAGTATCTGATAATATTCAGCGTATTTTTATTTTAGAAACCAATTGTATGTCCTTTGTCACCTATCAAAAGTCAATTATAGTAGTTTACGCCGATTTGACGACCCATTAGTCAAATTTTACCTCTTTCTCTTTCTAAGCAACAAAATACTTAAAGAGTTTATCGTAAATCGAAGAAATATATGGAGGGTGTACAAAATTAGCTTTTCAATAATAATTTAACAAAATCTACTGGTACGAAATGCTTATAATATAATGTACCCATCAATACTCGCAGTTAAAGAAGCACAACAGTGATGCCGGACGCTTTTTTAGCTTTAACGAATATAAGTGAAACACGACTAATTAGTCGTTTCCCTGAAATATGTTAAAGCTAAAAATGATAATTATAATTATTTGACAATAAGAATCACATTCTCTTACTTAACACTTGAGTTGAATACAAGTTTATTTATTATTCTGCCATAGTGCCCGAAAGCTCTGCGCGCCTGACTACTTACCAAACTTTTCAAGCAGATTCAATCATAAACTTACTTTACAATGACACTTAAACATTGTAATTTCACTGAAAAGTATATGTGCATTTTTATAAAGAGGACATGTGTTTCGATTCGATTCTATATATAAATAAAAAATCTATTTCTCAGCTTTGTGTAACTTTTAAATTAATGCCCGTGAGTTTATGACGCCCTCTTATTATTATTGTTATTGTTATTGTTGTGTTGTTGTTGTTGTTGTTAATATTATTATTATTAAAACACGTATACTTATACTTACATCCGCACACTTACCTATCTTGTACTTGCGCCAGTGGCTTACACACATACACACTCAACGAGCGCGACAGTAGCCTTTTGGTGAAGTGGCACATGACATAACCTCTCGCTACTTGTCAAACATTTGGTAGTGACTTTTATTACCAAAAGCATCATGTAAATAAAATTTCTTTACTTTTAGAGTCTCGTCGATTTGTTGAATACAATCTAGATAAACGATTGCTCTTACAACATGGACAAAGAGCGTATTTTAGCAGCTCGAAAAAAAGTATGGTATTGCTAATGCATATTTATATTTATTGGATGATAGTACTTTATGCTTGCAGCTGTCGTTTCATTTATACGTGTTCCGACGATTTGCATGCAGTGATTTTCATAAAAAACGTTAATTGTTACTTGCTTGATTTTCAGCTCAAAGAGTTTCAGAGGAAAAAGTATCAACAGGCGAAAAATAGTAGTCAGGTATTTAAATAATGAAAGTTCACCTTTGACAATCGATTTTTTGTTCGTAATGTTTATTAACCATGGCTTTCATTTTTCCAGAGTCCATCCTTAGAAAATTTGCAAGAAACTCAAGATGCTTTCAGACATATACAACAGAACTTGGATTCAAAAGATAGTAACGAAAGTATCCCTAGTGATACAAGAAGTACTACTGATTCTCCAAGTTTGTACAATAGTGCAGATTTCGTGAAAAATGTTTCACCAGCTGACATACAAGATAGTACAAGTATTCAAAAGTTAGATCAAGATTACGCATCAGTCAATGGTTCTACGGATATTCCGTTATTTAATAGTTTTACTCCAGCTCACAGCAGAAACGAAAGCACCTCGACTGTGTCTTCTCAAATAACTCATGACAATGTTGATTACAGTTCTCAGATTGACAATTTAAACTTAGGATTGAACATACAAAGCAGTCATTCGAGTTCCCTGCAAAAAGAACAACTATTGCAAATGGCAAACACAGTGGCAAATATTTTAGTTGATGAGAAACGTTTGGACGAATCAACGTTGAATCACTGTGATTTGGAGCAAAAAAATCAATTTTTAACAACATGTTTGGAAGAGCAAAAGAAACTAGTAAATCAGTTAGATATTCAATTAAGTCAGAACGTGAGTATTATTTAAAATTTCCCTGTTCCACGTACAGGTAAAAATGTTGAATTTAGTTACCCTCTAAAAATGGATAATCTTAATAATAATTGACATATTTGTAAAAATAGCACAACAGAATATCCGAGTTAGAGGCAATTATTAGTACTAAGAATGCAGAGTATGAAAACAGGCTGATTAGAGAAATCAATCCTTTGAAAGAGCAAATACAAATAGATGCTCAAACCATTGGAATTCTGGTTGGAGAAAAAGCTGAGTTGACAGCTGCCAATTCTCAAAACCAAATCATAATCAAACAGAAAACTGGTAAGTAATTTTACTTGATTAAAAAAGTTTCAGAAATATATTATATTGCATCATTCCAAAAATTTTACTGTAGAAGAAGTAATGGATCTTTATGGAAAGCTAAAAAATTCTGACCAAAGGGTCGCCGAGTTGGAACAAGAGTTAGCAGTAGCAAAAAGTAATCTTGATGATTTCTCAAAATCTTATCAGCAGTTACAAAGCAACTATGAAGAAGTTGTTGATAAATCAGCGAAACTCAAGTAATTGAAATATTTTCTCATAGTAATTAATTTTACTTACGTTTCTGTTATTTTCACGTTTTGATAATTTTTTTAGAAAAGAAAATGAAGATTTTGAATTAGAAATTTCTGAGTTGAGACAAAATCTCAGTTTTAAAAATACGGAATTATCTAGTTTACAGGAAGAATTACAAGAAAAAATAGCGCTCTTGCAATTAAGCGAGCTTCGAGTGAAGCAGGTAAATTGATCCTATTGTAATTAATGTTTTAAAAGACAATCATCTAATGCAGTAACATTGGATAGATGGCAAACTCTCCACAAGAGGTGCAATCTCTTGAAAGTCAGCATTATGCTACCAAAATTCTTGAGCAACAACTATCACAAATGAGAGAAGCGCTAGAAAGTGTCAATGGAGAGAAAGACGAAGTTAGTAAAAAATATCAAAGCTACGTGCAGCAATTAGACGAACGGTACAACAAAGTTTTGGCTGAGCTCGAATCATCGCGCAAAACAATCAATGATTCGGAAGTACGAGAGCAAAGCTACATCCAGAGACTGTCCGATTTAGAACAGCAGTTGCAAAGAGAAAAAAATAAACCTATAAAACCGATAGAGGATCAGACAGAAAAGATTGATCTCTTAACGAAAAGTATGGACAATCTGGTCTTGGAACAGGAAAATCTCCAATCGTTGTTAAATGAAAAAGTAAGTTCAAAATAACATATACTTGTAAGATAAAAAACTTATTTTTCTTGTTATTTTCAGGATAATGAAATAGAGTTGTTGAAAAAAGAACTACAAGAATTTCAAAATGTCCGAGAACAAAGTTTAGAAGCAACTAAACTGGCCCAAGCTTTGCAAAGCGAACAGCTCGGAGCTTCGCGTGCTGTAGCGCAAAATCAATTATTGAAAAATCAACTCGAGGAAATGCAAGACGCATTTTCCAACTTGGTAATGATTAATCTTTAATTGATAACTTGTGTGTCTGTAGCATTAAAAATTTTCAAACAAACTATTCATAATTAATTTCAGATTGATACGAAATTAGATTTGACAGAAAAACTCCAGGCAGAACGATCTATTGGCAAAAAATTGAATGCGGAGCTGAATGACATGGAACAGCAAATAGAGCAACTGAAAGAACAATTAGCTAAGAAAGAAATAGCCTTAATCGATCTTGAGAAAGAAAAATTACAAGCAGCACAAATCGAAGATCAGATGCAGCACTATCAGGCTCAGTCACATAATGCACCTACGTTGCAACAGGCACTTCAAAATTCCTTGGTTAGTAAATTAAAGATATGTACATTTATTTGTGTCAATTGATTGACAATTTTTGATTCATACAGATAACGATTGAAAATTTGAAGAAGGAAAATCAAGTTTTACAATCAAAATTACAAGCAGTTGAAAACAGTCATACCGAAAATGTAAAAGTGCTGCAAGAAAGGATAGAAATTGTATCGGAAAATTGCAGTTCTAATTCTGAAGAAAATGACAGCAATGATCAAATTTCAAAAAATCAATCTGTAAAATCCAAGATCAGTGCTATTCCAATTATTTCAGATCCTATAAAAAAACTCGAAGCTAGATTTAAGGATACAATGGAGAAAGTTGCAGAACTGACAGACGAGAAGCAGCGGCTTGAGCATATTATTTTACAATTACAAGGAGAAACAGAAACTATTGGTAATGACTATTAAACGGCAATTTTGTTAAAACTTGATCAACTAAGATTAAAGTTTTCATTTTGAATTTTTAGGAGAATACGTGACGCTGTATCAAAGACAACGAGCTATTCTTAAGCAAAAGTCTCGAGATAGAGAAAACACTTTTGCGGTGCTCTTGGAGCAACGTAATCAACAACAAGAGCAGTTACACAAGCTAAAATTACTAGTTGCTGATTTACTGAAATCTAAAAATACTAGTGCAACTGTTCCAACAGCCATAGCTGCTGAAGAAAATATGCCCTTATCCAATAATTCTGGTAAGTTCATTAACTTTTTATCTCATACAAAGCTGATGGAATAATAATGTGATTGTCTTATTATGACACACAGAAAGTGAAAGTAATGCCATCGAAGTTATTGAAGGAAATGCGAATAATCAAACAGATCCGACAACGTCCAAAATTTTAGATCTTTTGGCGGAAATTAAAGACTGTAACACGTGTATTTTGGAACCTAACTTCCATCCTTGTCCGTGGTGCTCTGGTAAACTAATCACGGTCTAGCGATTTAAAAAACGTAATGGCTAAACGAATATTTATAAAAACTTTGTTATCAAAATGTATTATGTAAAAATGACAGGTAAAAATTGTATATAAGTTATAATTGTATTATACATGTTTACAAAACTTGTATTAACGTAGTAGATGTAAATAAACCATCAATAAACGCTAATGTTAACATATTTAATTGTGTATTTATTAAAATTTTGTGTATAATTTTACCAAAACGTATTTATAGATTTTACTAAAATATACTAAAAAGTCAAAGGATAAAAAATAAGTCAATGTCAAGAAATCAAATGGCGAAAAACCTACAATAGTACGGAAGTGGAAAAGCCAAAAAAATAATTGCCTTAAGAAACAACAGGAAAGGCGGGATCGTCGATAAAGTAGGCAAAGGAGTGGTAAAAAGATTAACAGAACGCACGTGATAGTAATTACTCTAAGAAATAGAGCCAATAACCATAACAAAACAAAATTTTCTTGATTTTAGTCACAAGTTCATACTGCAGAAAAATTATGAGGCATAGTTTTTTATCACAATTACATCTTTTACGCTTTTATATTTGTTATTAATAGGCGAAATAATTAATCCATTCCATGTTAAAAAGTATAAAAATTTATTTACCCATCAGTCTGTGTAAAAAAAATAACAAATACTTTTATTTTATTTTTTACTCTTAAAAATAAATTCGGTCCATCCATTTACCAACCACACTGTATCGATTATCATAAAACAATGAAAAATATCAGTCAATACTTAAATATAAAAAAAAAAGTTAAAATGGCTGTCGCAATTCATTCAACTTATACTATGATTTAAATCCCTACACAAAATATGTTCCGTTTTCGTGTGACGATTAAGTTTTAGTGAAATTCACATTAACAATGAATGAAGCACTTGCATCAAACGCTAATAAAAAATTACATGTTACAATCACTGGTGCCATTGAAATTTCTTAAACATAAAAATATTTTACAAACTTTGTTCTCAACCAAGATTGTTATTCGAAAATGAAATGTGGGGGATACTTTCGGCACTTTGATTTTGAACAACAATGTTTATATCTGACGAAAAACTACTTAAGGATACAGATGCGTTCGAGTTGGAGCTGTTTGAACAGTTGATATTGACCGAGCGATGCGACTGGCTCAAGCGCTTCGAATGACTTGATACTACGTTTCGATCAGGCACACCCTCATTTGAATTATTTCTCAACAAATGCCGATTGGGAGTCGACGTTCTGCCAGCCTTGCCAAGAACAGACCGCTCCGTGCTTTTGTTCTCGTTTTTTATGGATATCGAGGAGACATCACTTATCTCGGCGAGAAGCAACTCGCGAGGTGTGCTTTCCCTTCTAACCGACGTGATCAGTCTCGAGCCGATGTTCACTGGCGTGACATCCGAGCTAGACGACGAGCCCAGTGCACTGGCCTCGCGATTCTTTTTTAGCGTCGGGACCCACGAGCCCAGGCCCCATTTTTTGAGCGCCAGCTCCATCTCGTCGGAAGAAGATGGACATTTGAAACGTTGCGCATCAGATGAGGGCGTAGAACTGATTTCGGATACGCCAGATATTGCTGACAAACTTGCAGTGCTCGTCAAGGTTAACTGGGCATTTTCCTGCTCTTGAACCTGTTCTCGATGCTGTTGTTGAATTTTCCTCTGTTCTGGCGTTACAGATTTGGACTTGCTATCGTCGCACACTTCACTAATAAGCATTCGATCGATCGTTTCGTCAGGCAAGGAATGGAGCTCAGAAATTTGGCTTACTCGAAACTCGTAATTGCTTTCTTCTGGTAAACTGTGCATTGACTCTGAGGAAATATGCTTTTCTACTTCGTCTTTAGCTGCTCTGGCATTTTCCAAAGATGCTAATGTGTTGTCTGTGCATTTTTGTGACGATTTATCAATAGATTTTTTAGGCGACTTTTCGATGGATCTGGAAGGGGATTTTTCTAGAGATTTTTTTGGCGATTTATTATTACTTTTGGTCATTGATTTGTTTGACGCATTAAGAGGAAACTTTGATGGTTGACGCATGGGGAAAGGTGCCACTTGTAACGACGGTTTGTTCTTGGAGGTGTTTGTGTCCACATTTTTCGACGGAGTTGATGAAACTGTTGCTTCACCATGTGGCACCAATTTTCTACGCGCCTTATTCGAGGGGCTTCTCATGCTAACTTGACTTTTACTAACAGTATCCGGAGTATCAAACTCGACTATCGTAGACAGTTCATGAGCCGGAGAGACAGTGACGATTTCTGGTCTGTAATATGATATTAAATATAAAAAAAGAATTAGCTGTTACTCGTTGATAATTTTTAAGTGCATTCTCACCTGTATGGACCACTTATTAACGTAACGGGTGGTCGTCCCCGACCACTTGTAGAATTTTTCGTCCGCGTTACTTTTGGTATCCCAGCCAAAAAAGGCACATAATCTGAATTGCTCGTCTATAAAAATAATATTAAATTGAAATAAAATGATTGAAATCACTGGAAATTTACTAACAAACGAATACATACATCAAAATTTTCCGATTGATTCTGCTCATCGGTGGAAACGCCGTTTTCGTTAGAATCCCCGGAATCCTTCACAGCCGTCGCTTCACTTTTTTTTAAAATAGAATCATCAGAATCTTTCAAATTATCGACAGGGGTTGACTTATTAACACTTTTACTTTGCTCGAGAAGCTCCTTGGACAACATCTGGACCATTTGTTCGCTTTGGTCGACATCAGCATCGGCAACCTCAGCAGTGATCGACGTCGCCGTTGATTTATTTTTATCATTATTTGTCGAAAACCTGGGCTTCTGCAGATACTGAAAACGACCAAGTGGAATATTGACGCGCTGCTCGCTCACTATTCTAGGCTTTGGAGGACCTGTGGGTGTCGAGTGCTGAGGTGGCTCCTCCTTTGCCTCGTCTTCCAAGCTCTCGCTGTTTATCGTCTCTTTCGACAAGTCTATGGTTGTGCTCGGTGACTTTTCGTTGATTTTGACGTGCTTTGTTGACTTGGGGAGCTCAATATCATCGCTCGAGATAATTTTTCGAGATTCTTCTAACGCCTTCTTTAATTGAGCATGAATGGCTTCGATATTTTTTATTAAACTACCGCTACCTGGAGGCTGGGAGGTACTATCGGATCTACTCGTTAATTTTGAGTTTTCACTGGTCGTCATGACAGATAATTCAAGCCCTACAAAAAGTACGAGTATTAAATTTTCAAAAACCATTTGTATTGTTCAATTAACGCACTTACCCTTCTGTTCGTTGCGCACCAACTCAATCAAGTCCGAAAGCGTGTGTATTCGCTCGGTATAAACGTTTTGCAAATCTTCGAACGTCTGGAGCGTCTCTGGACAATGGGTTAAATTGTAAGTCGGCTGGTCTTCCACTTTCTCGTGAAACAGCTTGCACATTGGATTCTTGCAAGTGCAAGGTTGTCTCACTCTCGGAGAGGTCGTCTGGATCTTTACACCAGAGCTATTATTATTCGTCCCAGAGTTCGTTCGCGTGCTCTTGTACTCGGTGGTGGATGAAGCCAATCTCGATCGTGCATCTAGCAGTAACTTGAGATTCCGACTGGCTCGGCTACTGGGACGTGGAATGTTCGAGGGAAGCTTCATGGTGCGGGGTGAGGGTGTTTCAGGGGAAGAAACCGGACTAACTTGTCGCGCCTTTCGCCTGATGACTTCGTTGGCAGACGACGACTCGAGCAATTCGAGGATCGGCGTACTGCTATTCATGGCATTGAGCATCGCACAGGCTGCAGGCGCGGGCGGACTCGCATACGTCGTTGAGGCATCCGAGGTTTCTTGGTGTTGACGATTGCGACCGTTCCTCCCGTTAGAAGTTGTGGTTGTAACGACGCGTCTGGCTGCCAAAGTTTGAAACTGCGTGTACAGCTTTTTGCCGTTTGCCGTATCCGGCGTTAAGTTGAACTGCGAGCTTTCGGTGCTTGAATCTATCGACACTTGGGTGTACTGAGTTTTGTAGTGTTGCTGCAAATAACTGCTTGGGACACGCCTGCCTAGGACTCTAGTTCGCGAGGGTGACTTTTTTGGACTCGAATGCCCTGTAGGCTGAGCCGATTTCGATAACTTTTTTGGAGAATTTTTGCGACTTCCGGGTAACGACTGATGGCCACTTGATACGATAGTTGATTGATCCTCAGATTTGTCATCTGGAACCTGATGCGCAGGTTCCGTTAGCAGCCGGATTTCTCTGTCGTCGATGAGTAAACCCGTCACAGTGAAGCCGCTTTTATTTTCAAAAGAAAGTTTGACAGGTGTCTTACAGTTGCCGGTACTAACAGATGTAACCGACGGTTCCTTTCCTATCCTCACGCTGTTTTGTCTTGATTTATGATCCACTGTGACTCCTTGATTATTCACGTCTATTACTACATCCGTGGCCGTCGATGTGCTACTGGAAAGAGTGCTACTGCTATTTACATTTTCGGGAGTTATAATTTTAATGATCGGTTCGATGGGATGCTTTTTCGTTTGTTCTTCTTTATCCTTGGATGTAATATCCTGTAATTCAACCTGCACTTGTTGATCACAAGTGCTCACGGTATTTTTGGAACACGGTCTAATAAAATTACGCGCGGGTGTCTTATTGCAAGGTTTTTTAAGAGGCTTGCTGGTGAATTTTTGAGAAGATTTATCACCCTTGCAATCAGACGTGCCAGTAACTTGAATTTCGGACGTTTTAGGTTTTGAGTGACCATGGCACTCGAGTCTTTCATGTAGTTCATGATGCGCTGGAGTACTTTCTTGTTGATGCATTGAAGTGCTCGGCCGATCAACGTAATTTTTCATAATAATATTGAAAATATCATCTGGTAAATTGTCACCATACTCTTGCAAAAGTCTCCGCCTTGACTTTTCAACTTTCATGAGTAAGTCAATGATTTTTGCTTTGACTTCATATTCGTCGCCATCTTCAGAACTGTTGCTACTTTCTCGGAGGTCCAAATAGGGTGGATCCTTCCAACCAGTGATAGGAGTAGAGCTGTCTTGTAAGTGCTGATCCCGAGGGGTGATAGTAATCGGCCTTTCAATTGGTCTATCACAGTAACCTGATTTGTGGGAGTTGCGAAGGATGGATTCAAAAACTCGATCCATTTTCTTTTGACGCTTTACTTTATCTTGACATGTTTTAGAGGGTGCCAATACTTGCCGGTCCTTGTGAAAAAAAAATCAATTAAGCTGCCACAATGTGGAAAAACGATTTCAATTAAACTTAAATTTCAAATATTCACCATGTCACACGAAATTTTCTTGGCACGCAATTTCAAATCTTCATTGTAAAGTTCTTCTAGTTTTTTTAAAAGCTCCTGATAGTCTTTCCGGACTTTTTCTCGACGCAATGCATCCTGACGTCGCTGTTTCTCGCGTCTCTTTTGAGCCGCAAGAATCGCTGATTCTTGTTTTTTCGATTCTCTCATTTCTCGTGCAGCATCTTCGGCGCTTTGCTAATTTAAAAGTAGAAAAGTAATAAAAATTATTAATGGCAGCGTACTACTACAAAATAGTTATTGTCCAAGTGAAAAGTACGTCATACCTCATTCTGTGGATTAACTCTTTCCACTAAACCAGGTGGCATATCGTAAGAATTTTGTTGTCGAGTGTTGTAATCGTATAAACTAACTTTACTGGTAACAGGTGATGGGTGATGTTTTGGTGTTACTCTGATGGCTGTGTTTTTAGAAGCATTATCAGAATAGTATGAAGAATCGTTGCTCGAGTGTGATGACATGGACGAAATGCTACTCAAATCAGAGGAACTGAGGGTACTGTAACTTCCGACATAACTGTATATAGCGCCGTTACGAAAAAATTACGATAGAAATATATAAAATGTTTCATTCAAGTTGAAAAATATTACCTGAAATTTTTTAGTTTTCTTGTTATTGGTATGGTCTTTCTGGGCTCATTATCATCAGACTCAGGTACATTACCTTCTTCAGTAACATCTGAAACTTTTTTAGGAACATTAGATGATTGGCTTGGGCTACTCTTTTTTTTACTTTTATTCGCAGAAGTGGTTTTCCTACTGGAACTGCCCATGTCTTCACCATTTATTGTTACTGATATGCGTGAAGGTGTTTTTACATGATGCATCTGATAAAAAAGTCAATATTCAATATCTCCTCACTCCTCAAACAAGATATTTAAATTAAAATTCACGACAAACCTTAGATTTCGAATTTGTTTTTGGAACGCTTTTTATTGGTGTTTTTTTAGAAACAACACCTTTAAATTTTTTCCTTGACGAAGTATGTGTCGGGCTTTCAAAATTCTCATTATCAGTGGAATATAAATTGTCGGTGCCAGACTTTTTTGGTAATTGTGCTATCATGTGAGCGCGCTGATCCTCTAACTCTCTAACTTTGCTTAGCCGATCGATGCGCTTTGTACTCGTACTAACGACCTACAAATAATCAAAAGTTACCATAGTTTAAAGCTCGATTGACAATCAGTCAAAGGTATACTCACTTTGTTCAACTCTTGCAACTTTCGAGCAGCTTCTTCCCCCCTGGCTTTAGCCATGGCTTTGTTTCTCTCCTCTTCTGCTTGCTTTATACTATCAACGTCCGGCTGACGAGCTGCATTTTCGTGAGCATAACCGATGTTTTCAATATCCTGGTACCTACGAATGATTTCTCTGAGCTTCTCGTCGCGAGCCCTGTGCATCTCTGTGTTGCCATCTTTTTCCAAACGTTCGAGCTCCTCTTTAGTAATGCCCCTGGCTTTGTTCAATATACTCTTAGCTATTGCCTTGGATTGTTCTTTGACCTATAGTGGATAAACAACGTCAGTAAAATTAATCAATCAACGTCTGCGTGACCTACCAACTGCCCAGATTTGAAAATGGAAATTGAAAGAAGCGCCTGGGAGCAAAGAGCACTTCTCGAGGGCAAAATGAAAATAGAAAGAGACTCCGAAAATCGTCAACTACCTGCTCCATTCGTAACCTCCTCCTGCGCTCCCGGTCGGTGCGCTTGATGTCCTCGAGATCGGAGAGGACCATCTTGCCACGGCGAATACTGATCGGATTCCCGCTGACCGTGACATTGATGGACATGATTCGAGCGTCACCTCATGCGACGCGACTCCTTGAAATTTTTTTCTACAAAGCAGCGCATTTGCAAAAACCCGATCCAAGTCTCACGCCACTGCCAATGTAAACATTCGACTTGAATTACGGAAAAGCAGCGTAACGAACGTCGGAAGCCGCGACGCCGCGACACCCAATCGCAGCATACTTTGGGCAGCCGACATCTTTCGTGTGTGGTTATCGAACACACGATTGGCTCATTTATCTTGTCTTTGTCTTTGTCTTTGTGGTTGTGTCACTGCTGCGACAACAACGGTATGCCATTTTATTAGGGTGAGATTGAGATTACATGGATTGAGGAGTCTGGCAGTCTGCAGACTGGCAGAATCGCGCTAAGTTTAAATTATGTTTAAATTATAACATCTCAGGATAATTTAGTAAAATAAAGAAAAAATTGTAATTATCGTCATAAGAGAATAAAGGCTTAGTTATAATCAATTTCATTTACAATAAAACGTGTCAAATATTATTTTATAACTTTTTTTATAGATTTATGTTAACATCGCACAGTCGGTCAGTAGGGTCACTGATGTAACCTGGTATGTATAACAATATGTAACTGTGACAAAACGTTTTTCGTCGCCTTTTTTTTCATAAATATTAGTTCATACAGAAATGCAAATGTATTACGATAATTATTTCTTTGCTTACGTAACAGGTTTTAAATATTAATATTGAAACATATTTTAAACTTAGCGCGATTCTGCCAGTCTGCAGCTTAGAGAATATATACATGGAGGAAGCATTGTATGCTCCGACCGCAAGAAAAGATGAGAGAGACAAAAGACAAATAGCAGTACAACCTTTCTCTCTCTTACACGCCTCTGATTGGTTGGTATTATATAAGTTCTTTTTTATCAGAGCTTAGGTTACATATATCTGCTCTGTTCCCCCACGACCGCCACTCGTGGATACGACTATACCTATATATATACGGAAGGGGGCCAACCATGGTTGCTGAGGAGCTCCGAGCTGCTCCAAGCTAAGTCCCAAACGAACCTTATATCTTACAGCAGTGGCTCATCGTCGGCGGCTTGATTGTCAGTCACGTGACTCAGTGGCGGTTAATTTTAAAGTATTTCAGTACAAATGAGCAAACGAGCAAATTAAATGTGAAATTTGAGATTCGTTCGGAAATTGGTTGCATTGGGGTAAGGTTTTCCTAAAAATTAAAATCAGCAGATATATATGTTCTATGTAACTTAATGCTTACATATATATATATTTATTTATTTATTCATTTATTTATCATAATATATGCATATGTAATAATTAATAAAATATAATGTTTATAATGTTAATTGTATAATAATATGTCTACTATATATTTTATTATCATCTCGCTTCTTGAACATATCGTCATTGTCGTCGTTTTCATCCATATTTATATCATACATGTGTAATATATTTTATACGCATCAATTTTCGCTTTTGTATATATGTATATGTATAGTATTGAATGAACGCATCATCAAAGTAATCGCAAAACAATACAACGTGATAAATTATTATTTTTACGCGCGGTTTATCAATTATATATATGTAATATATGGTCTTCATATATTATGTATGTATGTATATATTTTATACGCGTGTGTTTTTGTGGTTCC